ACGTACGTACGTACGTCCCAAAATTGGTTTCCGTTCTCTAACTTGAGTTTGCCTCAACCAAATGTTATGAAACTTATACACAATGCTTATTACCACAATACAGAGATCCAGTTTGAATTTTGGTGGTGTCACTTTAACCGTTGTAGAGTTATGCCCCTTTATAAATGGAAAAATTGCAAAATTTTTAGTTTCCGTTCTCTAACTTAAGTTTGCCTCAACCAAATGTTTTGAAACTTCTACACAATGCTTATTACCACAAAACACAGATCAAATTTGAATTCTGGTGGTGTCACTTTAACCGTTCTAGAGTTATGCCCCTTTGTTAATGGAAAAATTGCAAAATTTTTAGTTTCCGTTCTCTAACTTAAGTTTGCCTCAACCAAATGATATGAAACTTATACACAATGCTAATTACCACAAAACACAGATCAAGTTCAAATTTTGGTGGCATCACTTTAACCGTTCTAAAGTTATGATCCTTTATAAAAGGAAAAATTGCTAAATTTTTATTTTCTTCTAAATATGAAGTTATTTTTAAAATTGGAGTTATCTTCCTTTGTCCATGATTATAGTTGAATCAACTAAAATCGATGCTTTATACAATGCAATGTTTAATTTTGACCTGATAAAACACAGACGGAGTTGAATTTGGGTAGTGTCACTTTAACCATTATTGAGTTATGCCCCTTTATAAATCGAAAAATTTCAAAATGTTTAGTTTCCATTCCGTAACTTAAGTTTGCCCCAACCAAACATTATGAAACCTATACACAATATTCATTACCACAAAACTAAGATCAAGTACAAATTTTTTGTTTCCGTTTTCTGACTTTAGTTTGTTACCATTCTTGAGTTATGTCCCTTTATAAACATGAAAATTGCTGAATTTTTTAGTTTGTCTCAACCAAATGTTATAAATCTTATACACAACCGTTCTAGAGTTACAAATGTATGCGTGTTAACAAATAGAAAAATTGCTGAATTTTTAGTTTCTGTTCTCTACTTAAGTTAGCCTTAACCAAATGTTATGAGACTTACACACAATGCTTATTACCACAAAACTCAGATCAAGTTCAAATTTGGGTAGCGTCACTTTTACCATTCTTCAGTTATGTCCCTTTATAACTATATGATATGCAAGCGGGGGCATCATCTGTGTCCACATGTGGACACTATCCACATTTATTTATTTATTTTATAATCAACTGGTTGAATTATAAACGGGGGATTGATATTTAAAAAAAAAACAAGCATTACACTTACACGTGTTCATGTGCCTATTCTAAGTCAATGATTGTCTTTCATATAGTATCATAGGTTTTTGTCATTATGTGGGATATCGTGCTGATAGATTATGTTTGGTGGATAAGCTAAATTTACTCTCAAGTCTTTAGTCTCTTAAAATCTGCGCGAATTATAGCTTGGCTAATTATTGAAGACTCTTGATGTATTTTTCTTTTTGATTTTTTTCGTTTGGTTGCTGTCTTACATCTCCACTTTTAACCACATTTAAATGTGTTTGCGATATTGGACATTGTTTGAAATGTAAGTGATAAAAAGGTCATATTTATAATTAGAAAGTTAATTTTATCCCTTTTGGAAGTATCGTCAGTGTTAAACGCTCATACTTCTTAGAATTTGTATAAAAAACGCAATGTATCAAAGCGAAGGAGAGAGCGGGTATTCATTCGAACTCGACAAATGCGACTGTGTGGTAAATGAAGCGTGCATGTGTGAACGTGTAAACTAGGATTACCGTCCAACGTTTACAAAATACAATCCAAACAGAGCATCAAGTTACCAGAAAATTTTCGAAGGTAACAATGCTAGATTTTAAAGAGAGAGGTTGAGAGGTGCCAAGGGGGCATTCAAAATTCCATTCCAATAAAAAAGACAGTACCATGGCAAAAAACAAAAACGTCGAAAGGACACACAACAATAAAAATTCGTAAGGGTTCCGCGGAACCCAGTGTCTCGCCTACTTTTTCTGTTAATCGCAGGCTCAACAAAAATGAGGAAGTAAATCAATAAAAATATTCCTCTTGATACTATCTTTTGATTGTAAGAAGCTTCTGTCCAAGTTTGGTAAAAATCCAGGATAGTTTATGAATCTAATAAATGTTTAAAATCTTTAACTGCAGACTGAATGTAATGTTAACTGGAAGAAAACAAAATTTCCTTCTAGATACTAGCATTTGATTATAAACAAGCTTCTGTCCAAGTTTGGTACAAATCCAAAATAGTATAAGAAAGTTATTAAAATTTAAAAAACTTTAACCACAGAGTGAATGTGTTGTTTCCTGGCAGAAAATCTAAGTCCATTTAAAAGTAAAATACGGAAAAAATGGATTTATTTTTTTACAAAATTTCCTTCTAGATACTAGCTTTTGATCATAAACAAGCTTCTGTCCAAGTTTGGTACAAATCCAAAATAGTATAAGAAAGTTATTATTTTTTTTAAAACTTTAACCACAGAGTGAATGTGTTGTTTCCTGGCAGAAAATATAAGTCCATTTAAAAGTAAAATAAGGAAAAAATGGATTTTTTTTTTTACAAAATTTACTTCTGGATACTATCTTATGATCATAAACAAGCTTCTGTCTAAGTTTGGTAGAAACCCAGGATAGTTTAAGAAAGTTATTAAAATTTTAAAAACTTTAACCACAGAGTGAATGTAATATTTCCCGGCAGAAAAACTAAGTCCATTTATAAGTCAAAAACGGAAAAAATGGAATTTTATTTTTACAAAATTTACTTCTGGATACTATCTTATGATCATAAACAAGCTTCTGTCCAAGTTTGGTAGAAATCCAGGATAGTTTAAGAAAGTTATTAAAATTTCAAAAACTTTAACCACAGAGTGAATATTTGTGGACGCCGCCGACGACAACGACGACGACGACGACGCCGACGCCGACGGAATGTAGGATCGCTATGTCTCGCTTTTTCGACTAAAGTCGAAGGCTCGACAAAAAGGCATCATGCACATTGACTTGGGAACACGAACCCCGCAAAAAACTGGGGAGGAACACTGAGGCTCCGGGAGGATAAGCAGTCCTTGCTCTACATGTGGCACCAGTCGTGTCTCTCAAGCAAGTTAAAATCCGGTAATACGTCGCTTTCTTTTATGTCAAGATTGAGAAGATGAGGACGGGACAATTGGAAGTAAAAGTTGACTCCATCTTATTGTTTTTTTCTATTGATAAGTCGACCATGCAATTAGGAGGACATCAATAAAAGGTTATGCATGATGAGACTTCAGGAAATCTGTTGAAAGTTTTGTTTCTGATTTTTGTGGAGCCTGCGACTTCTGTCGCAGAAAGAGAGACAAAGGGATAGTGATCCGGCGGCGGCGACGACGGCGGCGTTAACTAACTACTAAAAAGCTTAATATTTCGAAAGGTAGAAGACCTGGATGCTTAATACTTTGTATATAGATGCCTTATATTATGAGGTTTCCGTCTGTCATATGTCCATTGTCTTTGACCTCATTTTCATGGTTCAGTGACTACTTGAAAAAAAGTTCAGATTTTTTTTGTTATCTTAATTTCTCTCGTATTATGAGCAATAGGATAACTTTATTTGGTATGTGCGTACATTGCAAGGTTCTCATGCCTGTCAGACAGTTTTCACTTGACCTCGACCTCATTTCATGGATTAGTGATTGAACAAGGTTAAGTTTTCTTGGTCAAGTCCATATCTCAGATACTATAAGCAATAGGTCAACTATATTTGGTGTATGGAATGATTATAAGGTGTACATGTCCAACTGGCAGGTGTCATCTGACCTTGACCTCATTTTCATGGTTCAGTGGTTAAAGTTAATTTTTTGTGTTTTGGTCTGTCTTTCTAATACTGTATGCAATAGGTCAACTATATTTGGTGTATGGAAATATTTTACGATGTACACGTCAGTCTGGCAGGTTTTTTTTTTACCTTGACCTCAATTTTACGGTTCATTGCTTAATGTTAAGTTTTGGTCTGTTTTCTCAAACTATAAGCAGTAGGGCAACTGTATTTGGTGTATGGAATGATTGTAACGTGTATATGTCTGTCTGGCAGTTATCATCTGACCTTGACCTCATTTTCATGGTTCATTGGTTAATGTTAAGTTTTCCTGGTTAAGTTTGTTTCTTAGATACTATATGCAATAGGTCAACTATATTTAAAGCATGGAATGATTGTAAGGTGTATATGTCTGTGTGGCAGGGTTCATCCGACCTTGACCTCATTTTCATGGTTCATTGGTTAATATAAAGTTTTCATGGTTTGGTCTGTTTCTTGTATACCATAAACAATAGGTCAACTATATTTGGTGAATGGAATGATTGTAAGGTGTACGTGTATTTCTGGCTTGGTTTATCTGACCTTGACCTCATTTTCTTTGATCATTTTAAGTTTATGTGATACTTATAGTAAAACTTTATATTTAGGACTATCAACATAAAATCAATGGTCATTAAACTTTTCAGCGTATGCACTCTTGTCTTTTTACTTAAGAGGCAGTATTCAGAGTTGTGTATACCTTAAGTAACTACATGTAGTTGTGACTTTCCAATTTATGCTTCGTCTTTTATTTCCTTTGTTGGAAGTGAGTGGTCACCGTGCATGTTAGTAGGTGTATTTAACAGTTTTTTTAACGTGTGTTTTACTTTCACTTTATATGGTCTAGATAAGCAAAGGAGATGTCTATTTTCACGCAAACCTGCTTAAACCCCGACCGCGTGTTGTGCCTACACATAGTCGGGTTTTGAGTGTCTGTTTTTTCGGAGGAGTCGGGTATTGGCCTAGACGGTTGTACTGTCCAATGTTTGGATAAATTCATGTACATAGCAGAAAGAGATAATCAATATAAGCTATATCCAATCCTGCAAAACATGCAATCACATAGGGATTGCAAGATACACTAGTATTTTTCTCACTGTCTGCTTAAGTATGTACGCATTAATGTTTTAAGTTATTTGAAAGACTATTATATATATTACATATATACTTTACAGTAATGGCAAACAAGAAGACTTTTCTGAAATTTGGCTTGGTAGCTGATCTCCAATACGCTAATATTGAGGATGGGTACAACTGGAATAGAACCAGGAAACGTTATTACAGATCAGCAATTGGTCTTTTAAGGAAGGCCATGAAGGACTGGAAACAAAATGACGTCAAATTTATTTTTCAGCTTGGTGATTTAATTGATGGATTCTGTAAACGGATAGAAGAACCAACTGTCTGTCTGAATCGTATTTTAGATATTTTTGACGAGGAAAAAATGGCCGGTTTTACATGTTGTTGGGAATCATGAATTGTACAACTTTAGCAAAGATAGTTTATACAAATCAAGGTTGTTCAAAAGTCTACCTCCTACAAATAAAGCATATTATACTTTGCAACCTTGTGAAGGACTCAAAGTTTGCGTTTTGAATATTTACGAGATATCAGCTCTTGGAGAAATAGAAGATTCAGATAAATACAACATGGTTAAATCATTATTGGATGAACGAAATCCAAACGAAAATAAAAATGACCCTACAGGTCTTGAATCAGTTGATAGGCGATTTGTACGTTTTAATGGGGCGATGTCAAAACAGCAGTTGGAATGGCTAACGAAGGAGCTGACATTAGCAAAAGAACAGAAACAAAATGTCATTGTTATAGGTTGGTAAACACACATGTATTATTTAGATTTGATTTATAGTAAGTGAAAGCATAATGGAAGGAATGGTTAATTAATACTACTATCTTGGCTATCTTGAACCCCCACCCCAAAAATAGAAAGAAAGAATATATGGAAAAAGAGGATAAAGAGAAAAATCAAAACAAACTAGATTTGTAATTGCTAGCAATAACGGATGGCACCCTCGTCCCCCCCATTGCCAGGGTAACGGCAGCCATTTTGAAAATTCCAAAATCGAACAGCTCATCTACACATGCCAATTAACATTGTTGTAAAGTTTCATTAAGTTTGGAGCATTTTGGATTTTTTGAAATTTTTGCTGTTTCCATGGTAACAGTGACCTTTTCCAAAATTTCAAAGACAGGTGCCACTTTGAGACATGCCATGTTACATATCCTTGAACTTTTATTGGGTTTGATGTAATAGTCTTTAAGAAAATGCAGCTTTGATGTGTTTTCCCATAGGGTCAATGTTAAACTTTCGCTCCGTTTCCATGACAATGGCAGCCATTTTGGAACTTCTTAATATTGCATGCACATCTTGGCATACTAGGCAACACTTCCTTAAAGTTTCATCCAGTTGGGTCTTATAATAAAAGATTTAGAATTTTGAAATTTTTTCGCATTTGAGCAGTTTCCATGGCAACGGTAGCCATCTTGAAAATGCCATACCCCGTTTGCAAATCTGCACATGCTGGTTATTATTACTGTATAGTTCCATTCAAATTGGTTCATACAATTCCGAGATATAAGCTGGACAAAAAAAGTGGAAGAAAAATAATAAGACGAAAAAGAGACGTAGAATAAAAATATGTCACCCCAACTCCGTTGAGGGTGCCATAATAATGTACAACACTAGTGTAAACAAATATAATCAGAAAAATAAAACACTTGTCTTACCAATGAAATATGATAAGGTATTGATCACGTATACTTTGTATGCATTGAATACAGGGGCGGTTCCAACCATATGTCCCCATTCAAAAGCATTGATCGTCAAAAAAAGGGGGTTCCCCCGGATCCGCCACTGTTGAATAGTAGACTTAGCTAAATCATTCTTCTTTTCAGGTCATAATCCAGTGTACTCTCCAGTTACAGATGGATAGTGTCTATGTTGGAATTACACAGATGTACTAAAAGTTTTCTCTGAATGTCATTCCTCGATCATTTGTTATATAAGTGGCCATTCTCATGAAAGCGGTTATGCAGTCGATCAGAATGGAATACACCATATAACGATGCCAGGAGTTATAGAATATCCTGATTCTTATGCAGTTGGCAACTTGCTTGAAGATACACTTGTCATTCAGGGAAGGGGAGACATGTTTGATGTTGTTTGTCCGTTAAGATTTAAGTTGAACTGTTGATCGCTATTAATTTTAAGAACTTGTCTACACAGATTAGTGCAATAAATTTTTATTTCTCATTTATAAGTTAGCAAAAAACTAGAATTTTATCAAAAACCATTATTCAGTTTTTTCTTTTATTCATATGGATTGTATTCTACATTTTTATAAAACACGAACTAATTACTTCTTTATAACAAAAGAGTGGATACTAAGTTAAAATTCAATACACAATAAGACATAAGCAACTCTACAAGATTTTCATGTGCATTTAGGAATGAAAAAAAGCCGTGGGACAAATTATCTGGGTGATTTTCGGTGACCTAACAATAATGAAGGGAGCTAACCATTTCCTTATACATCATGATTTTAGATTTTAGTTATATATCTAATAAAATACAAAAAAGTTCTTTGTTGGATTACTTTCCTGCAAGGAACAGGTGAATTTATAAAAATCAATATGGAGGTGTACGACTACATGAATAAATGACTCGGTTAATATAAAAATAAGAAGATGTTGTATGATTGCCAATGAGACAACTTTCCACCAGAGACCAAATGACGTAGAAGTTAGTGACTATAGGTGTTCAACAATGAGCAAAGCCCATATACCATATATCAAGCTATAAAACATCCCGAAATGAAATATGTTACAGAGGCAACAGCGCTAGCTGTTAAGTTCATTTCACCGATTTGACCCAAATTCTGAAATTTTATTTATAACATACAAAATGATATAACAAAATTACAAAAAGTAAAAAAGAAACAAGTAACTAGACATGGACCCGTTATAATAAATCAGCATTTCGTGCATATTTTAGACTAGACGTCATCTGATTATTTATCCAGAGTGACATCCGAAGACAGCCGATGGTCATAATTTTATAATCCGATGTAAACATAAATATGAATAGTCAGGAATCTGATGTTCAGTAGTTGTCGTTTGTTGAAGTGTTTCTCGTTTCTCGTTTTTTTATATAGATTAGACCGTTGGTTTTCCCGTTTGAATGGTTTTACACTAGTTATTTTTTTGGGCCCTTAATAGCTTGCTGTTCGGTGTGAGCCAAGGCTCCGTGTTGAAGACCGTACTTTGACCTATAATGGTTTACTTTTATAAATTTTGACTTGGATGGAGAGTTGTCTCATTGGCACTCATACCACGTCTTCTTATATCTATAAACAGACAGACAGACAGACAGACAGACAGACAAGCACGTGCAATCATACAGTGACTATTTTGCTAGATCTGTGATTTCATTTTATAGATTAAAAAAATGTAAATCATTGTTTTACCTACAAAAATGTATAACAATAACTTGTTGTGTGTCGGATATCAGTCAACGAAATGGTTATTAGTGGAGGCTCCTTTGTTTCACTTTTCAATGTTGAAATTCTTTTCTTTTTAACAAATAAGCATGCTGACTTCATGTTGAACACATGCACAACCAATCTCCACGAAAGTTCAAGTTAAAGTTAATTATTGGCCACCACTTCTTATTTTATAATATACATTTGAGATTTTCTGGTAAAGGGGAGATCATCCCGTTTTAAATATGCTACATTTTCTGATTATAAATGCATTGTGCGCTATAAATCTATGGCCTTCTATAAACCTTTATACTCATGAAGGAGGCACTCATTTGGCGGGGGTCTGGAGCGCCCGAACCCATTAGCTTATGATTTTATTGTACATAATCCTTGATTTTGACAAATCACAAGATTTATTTTGCGTCTCAACAAGATTCTGAAAAAAGATTAATAAAAAATGATTAATTTACTAAATAAATTTTATTAATTAGACACAACAATCTTCGTATAACATAGCACGACCCAAGAACAGTTGGAAGCAAGAGTGAATTTGTGGTGCCCGGATGCGTTCTATCTTTTAGCACTATATTAGTGTCTTATTCTTAAGGTTATTAATCTAACATTGTAGTAATATATTTGAATATTGTCTTTAAACATAACTAAATAATTACGTATTTCTCAACTATAGTTGGTGTACTGGATGATTACGACACGGTGTATATATATTTCCGTCCAGCATGTTTCGTCTGACTGTGGTCTCTTTTGTCAATACGAAGTTTCCGTGATCAGTTTCATTTCGCAGATACCATAAGCAATTGGTCAACTATGATTGGTGAATGGAATTAAAATTCACTTGTGTCTTTCACGGTTCATCTGAACTTGACCTCAATTTTATGGATAATTGAGTTATGTTGAGTTAATGTGACACTTGTTGTAAAACATCTCTTAAAAACTCCCATCTTTTATGGTAATATTCTAGTCAAAGCACAAAAATGTCGCCATTCACCTAAAAAGCTAATAAAAACCTTTATTGTATTGGCACACGATACAGAAAAGATCATTCGTTGATTTTTCCTTCAAAATTTGACTCAAAGTCAATTATGATATGCACTTTCGAAATATGCAAAGACAAATATACCTTCATGACCTACTTTTCGAGATAATTCAGTTTATAATTTGCATTTTTCATGTAAAAACGCAAAATTTAATTTTCATTACCTTCCGAAAAACAACACAACTTTTAAACGGAAAGAGATATTTTACGTTTTTATTTGCAAAGTGTCCTCAGTAAATATGTCTTTAAGGGAATCCCTTAAATGAAGACTGAATGGGATAACATTTTTGTGAAATATTACAATGGTTTGTAATAAAAAGCTGTAGACAATTTTACGACTTATGTTCTTCTCGTATAATTTATGATGGCATGACACTAAACCCCTAACGGAAGGAATTTTCATATGATGAAGACATAATCTCAGTTTAATTGAAGCTGGCATGTCAGTAACTGCCAGTAGTCCTTTGTTAATTTATGTTCATCATTGTCATTTAGCATAGTTTCTTCTGTTACTTATTCTTACATTGGACTTGGACTTCTTTTGAACTGAGTTTTACTGTGTGTTTGTTTTTTCACATTGGCTAGAGGTACATGTATAGGGGAGGCTTGAGATCTCACAAAACATGATTAACCCCGCCGCATTTTTGCGTCTGTCCCAAGTCAGGAACCTCAAGCCTATGTTTGTCTTGTGTTTTTTTTTAAATGTTGGTTCATTTGTATGTTTCGGAGTTTAGTGTGGCGTCCATTTCGCTGAACTAGTTTACATTGTTGTTTAGTGGCCAACTGAAGCTCGCCTCGGGGTGCGTGATTTTCTCGCTGCGTTGAGGACCCATTGGTGGCTTTGGGCTGTTTTCTGCTCTTTGGTCGGATTGTTGTCGCTTTAACAATTCCCCGTTTCCGTCTTTATTCTATTCAACATAAAAATTAACCATTATCAGTTAAACAAGCGAGACATTTCAGCGTGTGTATTCAGATAGTATCGTAAAATCTTTGAAAAAAATTGAAAATTTTATAATAAAGATTTTTTTTTTAATTATTAGATCTCAGTGCTAAGGTTTCTAGAATTGCTTACTTGTAACTTTAGAGAAAAACGGGGCAAGTTGAAAATGTGTCAGTTCGTACAGCTGTTTTTATTGATGATTTACAGATACAATTAAGGTATATTTTCCTATTTTGAACTATTTTTCTGTAGATGACCCCACCAAGATGGCCAACATGGTTAAAATTGAACATAGGGGTAAAATGCAAGTTTTGCCAATTTTTTTTTTACCGCTATAAATAGAGAAATTCTGACCGGTGCAAAAATGTTCACAATGTTGACTCTACCTTACGTCAAAACTGCCTAACGACTTCTTATTGGAATTATTGCCCCAAAATAAAGACTTTTACAATTATAGAAATTTGCAACAAAATGTGTCTCTTTCAAATTGCTATGTTTTCAATCTAATTAAAATATAAATATCTGCTTTCGTTTTGCTCATACGAGTCGACGAGCACGCAAGTTGCGATAGAGTTGAATTTTAATCAGAGAGCTCTTGTTTGATCTGTATATAACCCAAGAAATTGATATGAAAATAATGAAACAAATAATTTATCTGATTATTTAACGACATGAAACAAAGTTACACTCATATCTTTTAAAATAATACGACCGCTGCGGTCCTATAAAAAATAGAACCCTTTTTGTCAGTTCCCTTTTTCAAGAAAAATAGAAGATATTAAATTTTAAATAATAAATAAACAATAAATACGAAGTAAATATAAACGAAATATTGTCCTGTCGTATAAATAGACCAGGTGTAGTAACGCACTAAAAATAGAAATGACTGGCCATGTGCTTCGGACTTATTAATTATCGGTTGTGACGTGGACTGATAGCTGTAGCTTTTTGTTTTTAATCCGTCGAATTATATTTTTAAAGACAGTCATGACGTACACGAACAGTCAAGGTATGTAACATTGTCTGGTTAAAATTTACATAATTTTCAGTCATAATTATTATTTGTTGTGTTGTGGGTGTATATACAAATTTGCCCCATTTTTTAAGACCAGTATATACATTTTCACGGGATATTTGCTTATCTCATTAGACCTAATCATATTCAAAGATGACTTTTTGTGAAGGATATCTTCTCTTTATATTATATGTATATATTATTTTTATGTCAATTTACTGTCCTCGTGTCTGAAGTTTTATCATTTACTTCCTGATCCTAAGGTCAAATACTTGATGGTCGACATGGGTAACATGCAAACGCGATGGTAGGAACACCGTCCCTTAAATTTCAGGCGCTGCATGACACAAACATAATGAAGTGTATTCTTAGCGGAAATGAAACCCTGTTGATATGTGAAATCACCATGAATAAAAGTTCAGTAATATAAACCTCCAAACGGAAGAAATAATCTGTAATATAATAGAATTTTACTCAGTGTCACATTCGAAATTTGAATTTCGTAAACTTATTACCAGTAGAATATGTGATCATAATCTGGAACTTGAATCTGGTAGATATAAAAAAGTACCTCGAAATCTTAGAGTATGTAATTTTTGCTCTATTAAAGAAATAGATGATGAATTTCATTTCTTCTTTCATCAAGTTGCGAAATAAATAAAAATTTAGGAAACAAGTACTTCTCTGAAATTATTTCTCAAAATATTGACTTTATGAGTTTCACTTTAAGTCTTACCAAAAAAAACTACAATATATGCTAAATCCAACAAATTTTCAATAGGTACACAGTCTAGGTTCCTTTTTCAAGGGATTCTTGATTAACTGATGGTTCAGTTTAAGATTTGTTGTACATGTATATATGTTGTAATTTGTATTTTGTTTTTTCACTAGAACTATCCTATATGCTTTACGATAATTGATATATATATATATATAGTTATACATAATTACACTAAATATCTGCTAAACAATGTTAAATCTGCAAATTTGCAGAAGAAAATTTCTTGTACTTCCCTAGCCGGGATTCGAACTCATGCTATTTGGATATCGAGACAACACCGCCTGCACTGTGTCTGTCGCTCTAGACCGCTGGGCCACCTAGACTGAATATATATATATATATATATAAAAAAAAAAGTCTAAAGATTTGCACAACGGTACTATTATAAGATGGTAATATACGAAGATGATGTTAAAAAATTCGTGTTGACAAATATATCGGCTTAACAAATAGCCTTCGTCAGTATCAATAATTTTAACAGTACTAACTGTATGTATACGATAGCTCAATAATACAGGTAAGTTTTGGTTTATTGATTTAATCCCAAATCTGTATGGTATGTTCCCATTTCGCCTTAGCTGTGAATTCCAGGTAAAAAAGGTAAAAAAAATACTAAGGCGATATAGGAATTGAACTAGGCGAAATGTGAATTTAGATAAAAAATTTAAATAAACAAATTAAACCTCTGTGTTTTTATAACAATTTAAACAACATGTAATTACGGAAGTGTTTCTCTTGAATTATTATTTTTATATTCATTTATTAAAAGTGACAATTTTTATGATTTCAAAAGTTGTGAAATCAGAAAAAATCTTCAATAAAAACATTAGTCAGTACGAAAGTTGCTTCTCTTATGTTTAATTTAATAAAAGTTGCAATTTTATGAATTTTATGCAATTAGAAAACTTTACATTATGCAACACAAAAAGTTAAAAAGAACAACAAAAAAACCTGTTTTCCCACAGACTTGTTAGCATATATATTAAACAAAAACTTTAATAAAAAAATAAAATAATAAAAAAATCTTTAAAATTGTGTTAATGTGCATCCAGAAATGCAGTTGCTCATGTCTTTCCAAACGCAGAACTCAAAGGTTGTTTGTTCCACTACGCAAAGCCATATAGAAAAAGACACAAGAATATGGGCTTCAAACTCAATACAAAGATGTCCCGGATGTCAACAAACTCGTCCGTCGTGCAGCAGCCTTACCATTACTGCCCGGCTTAGATCGTTTGGTTACACGCCTTGGAAAACGCACCACAGACAGATGCTTGCACGAAATTAACCGACTATGTAATTCTGACATGGATAGAGGGCAGATACCCACAACCAACCTGGAACCACCACCAAACAGAAGGACCCATGATAAATAATCATTTAGAGGGCTGGCATAACAAGCTGAAAAAGAAGGTCAAAACAGCACATCCAAACATATTTGAAATTATCAATGTGTTCAAGAAAGAGCAAGCAGCTAACGAGGTAAAGAAAGTACAGTATGCAGCAGGTGGCAAGATGAGGGGAAAAGCTAAAAAGTATAGAGAAGTAGAAGAAAGATTCACCACTTTGAAGGAAAACCTACATAATGGTACAACTGACTATATTCAGTATGGTGATGCAGCATCCTACATCCTTAAACTTGGAAACTAAATGAATTTTGAACATTCAAATGTGTACATCAGTGCCTTGTTTTTCACAATATGAACTATCATATATAGCACTATTTATTTATGTTTATGGAAATAATTCTTATGTTTTATGTATTAGTGCTTTTTTCTCATGCTATTATTTATTACATGTAAATTTTCTCTATTAGTATGCTAATCTAAAATTGTGTGTGCTTGTAATTCAGTGCTGATTCAGAAATAAAATATTTGTTATGATTGTGAGATATTTGTCTTTATTTATTCATTAAAATATGAAATATTCCGTATCCTATTTGTCATCTCTAATTAGACTTTATTTACAAAATATATCGCATAAGTAAAAAAATACATATTCAGAAAAAGAAGTGCAACTATAAAAAAGAATTATTTAAAAAGTGGGACAATCGGGTAGACACCAAAAATTAAAAAAAAAAACAGGGTGCGACTTTTTACCCCAATATACCCCAACATACCCCAATATACCTCAAAAAACACTTTCCACATAATATTGTTGAATAATAATATTATTTAAGGCATTTCCATGTTATTTTAACACCAACAATACTTTATTTTATAAATATATTTAATTTTAAATCATTTTTTCCATTGAAACTTGTTCCGTTCTTGTCAGCCGCTTACGATCACAAAATGACTTTTTACGCCAATATACCCAAATATACTCCAATAAAACGTTTCACGGCAATATTGATGTTCTGGAATGATATTTTAACCATATTTATTTCAAAAAACATTCCTATGCGCATTTCATTTTGTATTTAGAAGCTTTTAAAACTATAGTTAACTCGATAATGGTAACACTAAAGACCAGAATGGACCTGAAAATATACAGGGCAATTTTTAAATTGCAATTTCTTTTTCACTCTTTCAAATTTAAGTTTTATTCAATAACATATGTATTTTCTTAATTAGATTTGAAATGTTTTTCATACATGTAGATAAAATTAGAAATATTTTTTCAATTTTGATTTTTTTTTCTCTCATATTTTTAAAATAATTGTCTCAAATAAAATTTGAAAATTTTCACCTACATGAAATCTGGAATTATTATACTATTAGTATAATAGACCGAGATGAAATAAGATTTTCGAATTTTCATTGATTTAATCATCACATGCTTAAAATTTACGTAAACTTGGAGGGACCAGAAATTACACAGTTGGTAGTTTTATTTATATTTTTCACTTTTCAATTGATAAACTTCAAATTAAAAACTTGTACAAAATAAAATTTATTAAATTCCATTCATCTAGACGGGAAAATATTTTTTCTGATGCCACAACTCAGGCCTGAATGGGGAGATTAAAAGACTTGAATGGATATCAATCTTACGGTTGGATTTTCTTTAAACTTGAGAATTATTTTTTCAATGGCCTGGATTTCCTTCTTATTTTAAAGTCGAGGCTAATCATTTAATTAAAATCTTCCAAGTTTTAAAGAATTATATGTTTGTTATAAAAAAAACTTTGACCTAAACGATAACATTAAAAGACATCAAGACAAGAAATTGCCTGAATGTTCCGGAATTGTATCTACACACCAACCTGACCAACATTGAATTTATAAACATAAAAAGAAAACTTTAAATGTTAAACATATAAGGATTATATATTATTTTGTAAGAAAACAAATATATGAGAAAAATATTTCAAAATTTGAGAAAAAATTTCGAGTTTTATTTTAGAAAAAAAAACATCAATTCTTATTTTTAAGAGAAAACAAAACACAAGATGCATTTACAATCTCCAAATTTTAAGGGAGAAAAAAAGAAATTGCAAAAATTTACCGGTATATTTTTAGGTTCGTTCGTTCTGGTTTTTAGTGTAAACTTTGTCAATACATGAATAAAGTGGCCCGAGAACACAGTTATTTCGTAGTGCATTTCTTTTAGACAATAAATTCAAATTAAAATAATCGCACCTGCTCTATCTCAAAAAGATTTTTACAGTGTAGTGTACTACTATTGATACAAATAATATCAAAATTATAGAAACTTCTACCAGCTGTAACTCAAAATATTGACAATTCTGTGTTAAGGGGGGCTAAAATTCAGTTTGACAGCTTCAGACATTCTAATTTTTGACCTTATTTAACTGGACCAAATCACTACTTATCATAAAGATTCAGCACCCAAATTTTTTTAACATGTAATTTCATCCCCTTACTTAATATTTCATGCATAAAATATCAAGAAATAAATTGGGAAAGTGTATAAAAAAAAAATGCAAGTTATACACTGTTCACACTAGGGACTATATTCGTAAGACAACGAAAACCAAAGGACGATAACTGTGTCCTTGGACCAAGTACTGTTTTAAAAGCCTCTAAATGAACACAAAAATGCAAACAGTTGTGTTAAATTTTAATATATCTGCATGTAATATCATTCCTTATCATGGGAATTGTATTGAAACTATTTATTTGAGTATATTTGGGTATATTGTTGTAAAAAGTCATTTTGTGATCGTAAGCGGCTGACATGAACAGAACAAATTACGAGGAAAAAAGTGATTTAAAATTAAATATATTCATAAAATAAAGTATTAGTGTCGTTATAATAACATTTAAATGCCTATTGTAACATTGTTATTCAACCAAATTATGTTTAAACTGTTTTTTGAGGTATGTTGGGGTATATTGGGGTAAAAAACCACTTCAATGATGGCGGAGATTTACTTTATGTAGACTTATGAGTTGCGAGTTAAGAAACCCGAGTTGCGAGTTATAAAAGTCGAGTTGCAAGTTGAGAAAGTCCGAGTTGCGAGTTATAAAAGTCGAGTTGCGAGTTACAAAAGTCGAGTTGCGATTTACAAAAGTCGAATTGCGAATCAAAAACAGTCGAGTTGCGAGTTACAAAAAGTTGTAGCTTTATTTATTTTTATGCCCCCGCCGTAGCGAAGGGGCCATTACGTTTTACCCTTGTCCGTCTGTACGTCCGTACGTCCCTAAATTGGTTTCCGTTCTCTAACTTTAGTTTGCCTCAACCAAATGTTATGAAACTTATAAACTGTGCTTATTACCTTAAAACACAGACCAAGTTTGAATTTTGGTGGCGTCACTTTTACCGTTTTAGAGTAATGCCCCTTTACAAATGGAAATATCTAAATTTTTCGTTTCCGTTCTCTAACTTTAGTTTGCCTCAACCAAATGTTATGAAACTTATAAACTGTGCTTATTACCTTAAAACACAGACCAAGTTTGAATTTTGGTGGCGTCACCTTTACCGTTCTAGAGTTATGCCCCTCTACAAATGGAAATATTTTGCTGAATTTTTCGTTTCCGTTCTCTAACTTTAGTTTGCCTAAACCAAAAGTTATGAAACTTATGCACTAGGCTAATTACCACAAAACACAGATCCAGGATGAATTTTGGTGGCGTCACTTTTACAGTTTTAGAGTTATGCCCCTTTACAAATGGAAATATCTAAATTTTTCGTTTCTGTTCTCTAACTTTAGTTTGCCTCAACCAAATGTTATGAAACTTATAAACTATGCTTATTACCTTAAAACACAGACCAAGTCTGAATTTTGGTGGCGTCACTTTTACCGTTCTAGAGTAATGCCCCTCTACAAATGGAAATATTTTGCTGAATTTTTCGTTTCCGTTCTCTAACTTTAGTTTGCCTCAACCAAAAGTTATGAAACTTATGCACTAGGCTAATTACCACAAAACACAGTTCAAGTTTGAATTTTGGTGGCGTCACTTTTACCGTTCTAGAGTTATGCCCCTTTACAAATGGAAAAATTGCTGGATTTTTCGTTTCCTTTCTCTTACTTAAGTTTGCCTCAACTAAATGCTATGAAACGTATACACAATGCTTATTACAACAAAACTCAGATCAAGTACACATTTGGGTAGCGTCACTTTTACAGTTCTTGAGTTATGTCCCTTTATAACATTATATGCAAGCGGGGACATCATCTGTGTCCCATGGACACATTCCCCATTTATTTTTATGCCCCCGCCGTAGCGGAGGGGGCAAAAAGTTTTACCCTTGTCCGTCTGTACGTACGTACGTACGTACGTCCCAAAATTGGTTTCCGTTCTCTTACTTTAGTTTGCCTCAACCAAATGTTATGAAACTTATAAACTATGCTTATTACCTTTAAACACAGACCAAGTTTGAATTTTGGTGGCGTCACTTTTACCGTTCTAGAGTTATGCCCCTTTGCAAATGGAAAAATTGCTGAATTTTTCGTTTCCGTTTTTTTAACTTTAGGTTGCCTCAACCAAATGTTATGAAACTTATACACAATGCTTATTACTACAAAACACAGATCAAGTTTGAATTTTGGTGGCGTCACTTTTACCGTTCTAGAGTTATGCCCCTTTACAAATGGAAAAATTGCTGAAATATTTGTTTCTGTTCTCCAACTTAAGTTTGCCTCATCTAAATGTTATGAAACTTATAAACAATGATTATAACCACAAAACTCACATCAAGTACAAATTTGGGTAGCGTCACTTTTACAGTTCCTGAGTTATGTCCCTTTATAGCGTTATGTGCAAGCGGGGGCATCATCTGTGTCTCATGGACACATTCCCCATTTATTTATTTTGGGCCCTGTTTTTTCAAATTAGTCCATATTAAGGTTTGAAGGGTCCAAAATTAAACTTTGTTTGATTTCAACTAAAAATTAAATTTGTTGGTGTTTTTTTTTTATATGCTGAATCTAACCATGTTGTAAATTTTGGATATCAGACCATACTAGGTAAATTAAATGTCCCATTTCAAATTTTTAAGATCTTTGACCACATTTATTTTGTGTCAGAAACCTATATTATGTCAAAATTTTTATCACAATCCAAATTCAGACTGTATCAAGCTTGAATATTGTGTCCAAACTTGCCCCAACTGTTCAGGGTTCGACCTCTGCGGTCGTATCAGGCTGCGCTCGGCGAAGCATTTTATTGTATGGAGTATTGAAATGTCTAAATCTAGAAAAGGACAACTACTGCTGTTTATGTTAGATGTATTTAAAGTTAGTTCCTTTGGGTAAATATCGGTAGTATATTGTAATAGTCATTTTGTCAACAGAAATTAGATAACGGATTGATTCTATGTATCAAAGAGAACTATTTACACGCGTATTTATCAAACATAAAGATATTTGATCAAATAGAAATATTGAATAAACGTAAGATTTAAGTTCATTTTTTACCATAAGTATAGACAAATATAAATTTACAACCTAACATGTTTCAGATGTGAACAAATACTTCGGACATTTTAAATACATTGCGAATTTCGGGATCATTACTATGAAATAAATTAAATATGCCTGGTGCACACGAAATGTATACGTTAATAAACTGTAATAGAAATCAGAATGATAAGATAGTTTTGAATACAAAATTTAGCACAAAAATAATGTGTCACAACTATCCTTATATATTTGTATTTACTTGACAGCAATGAAGACATTATTAAGGTTTGGTTTGGTAGCTGATCTCCAGTATGCCAACATTGAGGATGCATACAATTGGAATAAAACCAAGAAACGTTATTATAGATCAGCAATTGGTCTTCTGGGGAAGGCCATGGAAGACTGGAAACAAAATGACGCCAAATTCATTCTTCAGCTTGGTGATTTAGTCGATGGATTCTGTAAACGGACAGAAGAACCAATCGATTGTCTAAATCGTATTTTAGACATATTCGACAAGGAACAATGGCCGACTTTAAATGTTGTTGGTAACCATGAGCTATACAATTTTGAAAAAGACAGCTTATACAAATCAAGGTTGTTCAAAAATCTGCCATCTTCTAACAAAGCATATTATACATTATCGCCATATCAAGGACTTAAAGTCTGTGTCTTAAACACTTATGAAATATCAGTTCTCGGTGAATTAGAGGGTACAGCATCTTATGATAAAGCTCGATCCTTTTTGGCGGAAAGAAACCCAAACAAAGATACAAATGACCCATCTGGTCTGGAATCAGTTGATAGACGATTTGTACGCTTTAATGGGGCAGTTTCAAAAGAACAGTTGGAATGGTTGTCAAAAGAGCTGACATTGGCCACAAAAGAAAAAGAAAATGTTATTGTCGTTGGTATGTATTTCTTAATTCCATATTTATGTATTTTTAGTCCCCTACCGACGAAGTCGAAGGGAACATTAGGTTTGCACTCTGTCTGTCTGTCTGTCTGTCAGTCCGGCAAATCAGTTTTCAACACTTTTTATGCCCCCGCCGTAGCGGAGGGGGCATTAAGTTTTACCGTCCGTACGTCCCAAAATTGGTTTCCGTTCTCTAACTTTAGTGTGCCTCAACCGAATGTTATGAAAATTATGCACAATGCTAATTACCACAAAACACAGATCAAGTTCGAATTTTGGTGGCGTCACTTTTACCGTTCTAGAGTTATGCCCCTTTACAAATGGAAAAATTGCTGATTTTTTTGTTTCTGTTCTCTAACTTAAGTTTGCCTCAATTAAATGTTATGAAACGTATACACAGTGGTTATTACCACAAAACTCAGATCAAGTACAAATTTGGGTAGCGTCACTTTTACAGTTCTTGAGTTATGTCCCTTTTTTAACGTTATATGCAAGCGGGGGCATCATCTGTGTCCCATGGACACATTCCCCATTTATTTTTTCATGCTAGAAGATATTGATATGATATTTGGTATATAATTTCATCATGACAAGTTACAGATCAAGTTCGAATTTTGTTCCGGTCTGATGATTTTGTCCAGAGTTATGGTACTTGGACTTAGAAAATTCACTCAAATAATCAGTTTTCCGCACTTTTTTTCGTCATACTTGAAGATATTGATTTGATAATTGATATGTACTTTTATCATGACAAGTTACAGTTCAAGTCAGCATTTTGTTCCAGTACAATGAATTTTTAACCTGTAGGGGACTATGTATTGCCATGCAATACTCTCAGAATGTTTGTTTTAATTGAACATTTATGTATATCACCATGATCACCACGACAGGCGGGATTTGTCGCGAATGGGTTAAGAATGGAGTATGCTATGTCACTTTATTAAAGGAGCACTAGCTGTCAAATTCATGTTCACCGATTTGACTCAAATTCTCATATTTGTTATATAACAATGTAAAACATTTATCCAAATTATAAAAATTCTAAAATAATCAATTTACAGGGCATAGGGTCAATAATATGTAGCTTCGTTTTGTGTGTATTTTAGTCTAAACGCCATCTAATTAACTGTCGATTTGACCTCCCGAAAACCACTGATGCCCATATAAGGGATATAAACATAAATAAAGATATAAATAGATAGCGCAACTCGTGCAATTGGAGTCTTCTAGGTCTATTTAATTTCATTTATAGATTAAAAATATATGTTAATCATCATTTTTACCTGTATAAGAATGATTTTTTTAGGATCAAATCAGTCAATTAAATGAATTACCTTTGTTTACTTTCAATGTTGACATTCTTTCCTATAAATAATCAAACATGCACACAATTCATGCGTTATCCAACTCTATCTAAGGGGTTAAATTGAAGTTCACATGAATACGGATCCAATGAGGTCGAATTATTCACTTGCAAGTGAATAATTCATCATCAATATTTATTTGCATATTTTGACAAAATTAGACAATACTGGCTGCTAAAAGCGAATTATTATTTCACTATTGCACTTTCATTAATGATTGAACAAAAAAAATCATATTTTATAATTTTTTTATATCTCGTAGCTAGTGTACCTTTAAGGCGTAAAAGCGATGACTAAAGAACATTTTGTATGTAGCGCAGAACTTTTATACTAAAAATGTGCTCATTGACAACGCTTTACAGCCTTACACAATTATAAAAAGAAGCATTGGATTGTTATAGCTACATTTCTATACTTTAACTATGGAATTACAAGCTAAATCAAGCTTTTTGTTTGTTTTTCTTTGCATAGTTGTAACGTTGTCAAAGAGAGAACGTGTTAATACTAGATGTTTCATTTCATTATAGGACTGACCTTCACATTTTGCTTGAAGCGACTGAAGCGAGTCTTTAAACATCCATAGCGTTTACATTGCATTATCAAATATAACCGTTCTGACCTGATTTCCTTGGCGTTCTTAAACAAACAACAAACACTTGTGTAAACCGATAGCGTGTCCATTTCGCGCGGAAATAAGGCAAAATCATTAAGAAAATAATGCATTTATTATATTATCATTTTTCAGCTGCTCCTGGACGCGTTGGTACACACAGAGTTCGATTAAGAGTACAGTTTACGTTACATTCACGCGGGGTCATCATCTGTGTCCTATGGACACATTCTCCATTTATTTACTAACGAATCAGAATAGGACTATTCGTGAGAAAATTTCTCTTTCACGGAAGAAAAAAGTTATTGGTGTTTAACGCCACTTTCAGCACTATTGTGCTATTTTGTGGTTGTCAGTTTTTATTGTTGGAGGAAGCCGGAGTGCCAGGAGAGAACCACCGACCTTCAGTAGGAAAACTGACAATCCTAGTCAATTAAGATAGGATTTGAACGCACTTACCACGTGTCGGATTCCAACTCACAACCTTAGTGATACAGTAGTTCGGCTACTTTGACCATTCTTCCACCGAGGCCCCCTCGAAAGAAAAAGAACAATTATAACCAAGTCTGTATACGAAACATGCACAATAGTAGGATATGAATTCATAATACTAATAGCTAGAAAGTCGCAACCAATGACATTTACACAAGTTTTAAATACGTATACAAATATGAACTAAAGATGTGTGATATATGTCATACTACAACCCGACGACACAACAACCTTACAGCCACCAACCTTCTTTAACATCGAGAAGGGACCTCGGTGTCCGAGTGGTCAAAGCAGGTCATTTACAGTGATCTGACTGGTCTGTAAACATGGCACTCATGTTGTGAGTTCGAACCTGCTCGTGGTAAAGTGCTTCTGACTCTGATCTTAATTGACTAGGGATCCCAGTTTCCCTACCGATGGTTGGTGGTTCTCCTCATGTACTTGGGATTCATCCACCAATTAAATCTGACCGTCATGATATATCCAAGACCGTGGAAAATAGCGTTAAAAGAATCATCAACCAAGCAATCTATCAAAAACAAATAAGAGTCAATAATCATTGTTAACACCCTTTCATGATTGTATACATATTCCATATATATGATTATTAATTCCAGGCCACAATCCAATTTATTTACCTGCCACAGATAGTGCCTGTTTGTGTTGGAACTATAGTGAAATATTAAACATTCTGTCAGAAAACTGTGTGGTCTGTTATATCAGCGGTCATGATCACGATGGCGGTTATTCAGTCGATCAGAATGGGATACACCATATAACAATGCCGGGAGCTATAGAACATCCAGACTCTTACGCTGTTGGCAACTTGTTAGAGGATTCACTGGTCATTCAAGGAAGGGGAGATATGTTTGAAGTGAATTGTCCGTTAAGATTTAAATTGAAATGTTGACAGCTATTGTTTTTATTCTTTTTAATTTTAATCTACAGTCTACTGCATTATCTTTTTAAAATATTTAAAAAACTGGTAATAATTTAACTATTTATAGTCGTCATTTAAACAATGGCAACTTAAACAGTTTTTCTAATGTTTTACAATTTCTGTTTCTCAACTGTAGCGGTGGGGGCATTAAGTTTCACCCTTGTCCGTCTGTACGTACGTCCCAGAATTGGTTTCCGTTCTAGAGTTATGCCCCTTTATAAATGAAAAAATTGCAAAATCTTTAGTTTCCGTTCTCTTACTTAAGTGTGCCTCAAACAAATGTTATGAAACTTATACACAAGGCTTATTAACACAAAACACAGATCAAGTTTGAATTTTGGTGGCGTCACTTTAACCGTTCTAGAGTTATGCCCCTTTATAAATGGAAAAATTGCAATTTTTTTTGTTTCCGTCCTCTAACTTAAGTTTGCCTCAACCAAATGTTATGAAACTTATATACAATGCTTATTATCACAAAACACAGATCAAGTTTGAATTTTGGTGGCGTCACTTTAACCGTTCTAGAGTTATGCCCCTTTATAAATGGAAAAATTGCAAAATTTTTAGTTTCTGTTCTTCTAAATATCAAGTTATTTTTAAAATTGGAGTTATCTTCCTTTGTCCATGATTATAGTTGAATCAACTACAATCAATGCTTTATACAATGCAATGTTTAATTTTGACTTCCACTGATAAAACACAGATCAAGTTGAATTTGGGTAGTGTCACTTTAACCATTATTGAGTTATGCCCTTTATAAATAGAAAAAATGCTGAATTTTTAGTTTCTGTTCTCTACTTAAGTTAGCCTCAACCAAATGTTATGAGACTTGCACACAAAACTCAGATCAATTTTAAATTTGGGTAGCGTCACTTTTACTGTTCTTCAGTTATGTCCCGTTATAACTATATGATATGCAAGCTGGGGCATCATCTGTGTCCACATGTGGACACTATCCACATTTATTTAAACATAAAACTAAAGAGAGAATACCAATAGGTCACATACATTTATAGATGACCCTTGACTTTGACCCTCTACTATCAGGTAGAACACTTCTGCTCAGTTATGGGTTATTGGTGGATTTTAAGGGGTTCTTATCCATTTTTGAAAGTGGAAATGAGGAGACCCAATTCAATACCTTCAAATCTGTACACGTTCTGGAATTCTAGCTCTCAAGATAAAATGTTGTGGTATTCAAGAAATGCAGTTCTTTGAATCAAATTCTAAGATTGCGATTTCCAATTGCAATTTCTAGAGGTCGAAATCATCATAAGTACAAATTTTAACGTTAACGGTATCATATTATTTTTACAAATTGTGACTTGGATGGAGAGTTGTCTCATTGGCACTCATACCACATCTTCTTATATCTATATACCAGAATATCCAATAAAGAATTAAAGGCTGAAATTTCGATATACTTTTTATAGTAGTCTCTTCAAGAAACCAGGAGCTCGTGAATTGTGAATTAAGTCTGAGGTAGGGATTTGTAAAATTTATGATTTTAAAAATACAAGTAGATATTCAATTTACCGAGCTCTTGAATTTGTCTTCAGTTATTTTTGTCTATATAGATCCGTTATATAAAATTTTCAAATTTTTAACCGGATTTTCGAGGCAAAAAACGTTTATTGATTTGGGGATGTACGGCGGGCAGGCGGCTGCCAAAATAGTGTCCGTTCATTAACATGAAAACGCTTTGACGAAATTTTTTTCAAGTTCAATTTTCACGATTTTAGCTTTTCTCGTTGTTGAGTTGTAGACCTTTCAGTAGCCAAAAGTGATATTTATTATATGATTGAGTTATTTCCCTTTGAACAGAAATTGTGTAATTAATAAGTTTATGTATAGATATTCTATCAATGATTGTATCTGTTTAATTGATTTTAGTCAGGAGCTGTCAATCATTTCTTTATAATTATTTTTTTTAAGTCATATGTGTTTTGAAGGTAGATGTCACAGTTGTTATGTTGTATTTTATTTTTGTTGTGTGTCTTAAGGTTTAATTTTTACTTGATCCTGTTTGGGGGTACAGATTTGCAAATATCATTTTCATTAGATAATAATGTATTATTATTAAAGGATAATTACATAATAGTTATTGAAAAACCAGTCATTATCGTGATATATGGACTGCCCAAAGGACAGTGGTATTGACTAAGACAGCAATAATGACTGAGGATAATGACTGAGGCGTAGGCGAGGTCATTATCGCTGTCGCAGTCATAACCACTGTCCTACAAGCAGCCCATGTATCACAATAATGGCCAGTTCTTCAATAACTAATATGTTTATTTCATTGAGGAACCATGTTTTTAAAAATGCTCATAAATTCAAATTGTTCAAAACAAACTCGAGTTATTGTACGATTTCTATAAGAAAGAGTGAAGACCAGTCATAGCGATAACTATAAGCACTACCATTCATTATTCATTTAAATAAAATTTTTCGGTATATGAAAACAAAATAAAGTTTTCTATAATTTTATAATTTTAAAACAAAAACATATGGTATACAATTCAACAACTTCAATATAAAATTAAAATCAGGAAAATGTTTTATTAAAGGGACATCTCTCTAAACAGAGAAACCACGCCCCACCGGTCATTAACATGTAAAAGTCTGTTAACGACCGTTTTTCCGGTCCGTTTTTTTTCTGTTAAAGACCTTAAAGACCGATAGAAATTATTACTGAAGAATAAAGAATGTCATGTGGCCCCTTGTTATCCAATAAGAAGCTAATTCTTAACCTTTATGAAATAAATTTCATTACATTACATTGTGTAGATAAAGTTGTTGACATTGATAGATAAGTTGCAGATCTATATTAGTTTGTGACAAATGAAAGAAAAAATATTGGGAACTATTAATTATATATAAAAAGTTTGATTACACTAAGTGTTTTTAAATAATTTTCACCTGTTATCAGATAAGAAAGCATGTGGTAAATATTAATCACACAATTATAATTGAAGTGACAGATTTATTTGAAAATTTTCTGTTTCCTAAGTGTTGATGATGATAAGCTCTGTAGTACTGTTTAAATATAGTTTGAAATTTACTGTTCATTATTAGACATTTTGAAGATAATTACAGATAAGTTTTAGATTTTTTAAAGACATTGTATTAATGATAAATGACATTTTGGATTTTTTTCTTTTCTTTGTTAAATTGTTTGAAGAATTTTGTGGTAGGTTTGTTTGTTATTCTGTATAAACTAATTTTCTGAATGCTATATATATATTTACTTTTGATGAAGCGAACTCCTTTAAAAAACTAAGCTTATATTGTCTATTAATAAACATATATTTAGATTTCTGATTTTTGGCCCAGTTTTCAAGTTGGTCCAAATCGGAGTCCAAAATTAAACTGAAATCAACATAAATTGAATTTATATAGGGTTCTTTGAATTGCTGAATCTAAACCTGTATTTATTTGCATTATTAATTAGATAATACCACATTGAGGTCCAAAGGGTCCTTGATTAAACTTTTGTTTGATTTCATCAAAAATTGAATTCTTGAGGTTCTTTGATATGCTGATTCTAACAATGTACTTAGATTTTGGATATTTGACCATAATAGGTAAATGTCCGATTTCAAATTTTCCAGTTCTTTGACCACATTCATTTTGTGTCACATACCAATGCTGTGTCAAATATTCAATCACAATCCAAATTCAGAGCTGTTTTTATAAGCTTAAATGTTGTGTCCATACTTGCTCAACTGTTCAGGGTTCGACCTCTGCCGGATTTTCCGGTTTCCTGTCACTCTGACAGCCTCTTGTTAATTACTAATCCAATATATATTTCTTTCAGCTAGTCTTAAATAATCTATGATAAAAGACGGGTCCATTATGTGCTAATTGTAAGATAATATATTGAAGAAAAAGTCAAATGAATAAATACAGCAGTACCATTTTAGTGTAAAAATTATTTAATGCACAAACAAAATAAATTTGAAATGGGTATATTTTCTGTTGTCAGTTTTTACTTTTTAAAAGTGCATATTTTCTGGTTAGTTTTTTAAAAGTGCATATTTTCTGTGTGCCAACACATTTTAGTGTAAATTTATCAGGAAACATTGTATCATAATCATGAAGTTTAGTATTGTTTTCAGTTGTGTTTTTGTTTTTAATAAAATAATTTCTGCAGCCATTTACCAGTGAATAGTGTACTGTTTTTTATTATGGTTATCATATTGAAAAAAAATTAAAACAACACTTTATAAATTTCATGAGTATGAAGCGCTTTTCTGGATTTATTTTCATCGGGAAAGCTCAAAGCCGAAAAGTTGAAAAGCAACATGAACAAAAAAACCTAGATATAAAAGCGAAATCAATCTAATGTCAACTTGCCTGGGGGAGTTTAAACCTTAGTTTCTTAATAATTTGTAAATTTATAACCGGAAAATTATAAATGTCATGCGTCCGAAGCGCTTTGGATTTACCTTCATCAGGAACGCCCAAAGCCAAATATTTGAAGACAAGGATGTATAAGAAGGGAAACAGTTGAAGAGCAACTGACAAAAAAACACGTAAAAATAAAAGGCAAATCCATTTAAGGTCAACTTGCCTGAGGGAGTTGAAACCTTAGTTTCGTAATAATTTCTAAATTTATAATCAGACAATTTTAGAAAGGTTTGTTATAAAACATTTGAATAATCGGATTAAATATATATACTGGTTCTAATGTAGTATTTAAGTATGATACTGGTCAATAAAACAAACAAACAAAAAACACAGTTCAACTATACCGCCTTAAGGATACTGTATCAATATGTTTCCAGATGAACTTTTGAACTGTTTATCCTACATTTATGAATGGACATGTCACAGTATATCTGGTTTAAGCTTTTTTTACACAGACACAATTATGATTGCACATCTTCTCGTTCACCTCTTACTTTTGCTGTACGCCATATCCAAACCCCGAACAGTGATCGTTTCCCTTCCGAAACTTTTTGTGTTGAGTTTCTCGTGTAAAACTGAAGTATCTAAATCTAGAAAAGGACATTTACTGCTGTTAATAATTGATTTATTCAAAGTAAGTTCCTTTGGTAAATTTCGGCAGTATATTTAGAGAATTCTTGTTTATTTAACGAAAAAAATATCCAGATAGTGGTGAGTGTTGTTGAATTTATCAATTAAAATCGAATTTAGACGGGTCTTTACCGAGTTTGTCCATGTACTGTAATTCATAACAGTACAAGAACAAGTCTGCTATTAAAGGGGCACAATTGATGCCCATACGATTACCTGCAACCTGACGATAAATTTATTGTCGAAACGTACATAAATGTCGTCAAAGAGAAAATTTACAGCTTTAATCATCTCATTTCACCTCCAGTTAGTATATCTAGCATATTTACCTTTCTCATTAGAGAAGAATTATATGAGTAGCAGCAAACAAATTTGCAATCAGATTTATTAAACGACCATTTAATTAAGTAGTAAAACTTTTGCTTAATAAGATTTTGTGGAAGTGTAGTTTAAAGAATGGACAAGCCAAAACTGTCAACCAAATAAAAAGGACCATCAAAAGCACGTAATTTATCTAAAACATCCAAAGAATTTTTACATTCCAAAAATAGTTAATTCCACTATTTTCACATGTTTTATTACAAAAGTTAATGATAAGTTCTTTGATAGTAGTTAAGGAACTCGTAAAAAGTACTGAAAGATTAGTAGTAGAACACTTACTAGAGGCCGAGATGAAACGATATTTTACGGGTTTTTGTGTAGTTTAGTTAACCAATACATGGTGGGGACCTTCAAATGTTCAGAGAGGCTGGGTCCTTAAGCTGAGCTGTGAAAGTGACATGATTATTTACTATTTGACTCTCTGTGGAGCGTACGGCCTTGCATGTAGTTTAATGTATAATTTCATACTTGAGGACTTCCGTGTAATATTTACGTTATACCACCACCACATTGTTGGCGGCTTTGTCGGCCGGTACGAACACAAAACGCTTTGCGAGTACTTGATTTTTTTTAAATCCTAGAAATTAGCGTGTTACTTACTCTTTTTTTATTTCTAAATTGTCACTGGATATGCGAATATCAACAACATTCAAAGATTTATTTAGGTAGGAATCAAGTGAATTTTTGTCAGATTTCTCCCGTTTACACAAAGTTTTACAGTAGGATGAAAGAGCATCTTTATTGACCTGAAGACACTCTTTCCAATTTATTTTCGGCAGTGGACGCTATTTTGGTTCTTTTATCAGAAAGTTTTTAATCTCTCCGTCTTGAAGGATGTTGAGGTCCCCTGTAATTACATGGCCATAGGTATCATATCTAAACTTCGATGTTTCACAGTCTCATGTTGAAGGAGGATTATTTTGTACATTGACTTTTGATGTAACTGACGTATAATAAAAAAATAAACTTCTACTGTTTTTTTTTTATACGAATAAGAAATTATAGAAGGCTCTATGTTATCAAAATATGTAGGTATAAAGTTTTGAACAGTAGAGTCATTAAAAAATACTAGACAAATCAATAAGATCAATACCTCTATTAAAGTATTTTATTCTTAGAAAATACTTTTTATGATCTTCAGGTTTGTCAGTTCGTGGGAACAGTCTGTGACAAAAAGCTGTAATAATACGTGTACACTCATATTTTAGACTGAAAAACGATATTGCATCTCACTCGTTACAAATATTATGCAAGTAACTAATTAGCATTTGACCAAGTGTGCATAATAAATGATGATGTCTACCATTGTTTTTAGATATAGATAAACGATCATCAAGTGTAAAATTAGAACGATGTTTATTACGTTGATTGCGGTTAATGCTATTGCCATGAGACCTACGATTTCGTTGTCTTTTATCAACAATGAGAGAAAGTTTTTGATATATTACCTTGGCCCATGATATTGGTTTTTTTTTCATTCCTGTGCATATCGTTTTATCGTCCAAAGTAGTCAAAACAAGTGGATAGTAAACACGAAGTCCCCCGTTTCAACTTTCTGAGTGAGAATCGGAAAAATGAAAATAAGGAACAAGCAAAGAATTTCACGATGGCATTTAAAACACGAGCGATAAGGTCTTTTTAAAATGGATTTACAAGCATGTCTGGACAGTCAGGATTGTCAAAAGCAGAGATCAAAAGAATTAGGAATGCGAATTTTTTCTCACCTATTGTTGCACCAAGGTACAATTTTTTTTCTTTATAAATCCAAAGTCAGCTTGTACATACTGGAAGAAACTGTCGCCATTGGGACTCTTGTATTCTTGAATTGAACACTAGGCACCATGCTACCAATGCACGAATATTTTTTTTACAATACTGAAACAATTCCGAGATGCAGGACAAAATTTTCAAAAGATTACGAAGTTTTTAAATTTGAAAAGAAATATTATTAACCAAGGATTTGATTCCTATACTAAGTTAACAAAAGCTTTGTTAGCAAATACAAGTTACGTAGATTCACTTTTGAATTTATCTCTTTGTGTGTTCTTTTTTGACCGAAATGAGTCTAAAAGCGTATGACAATACATTGGATTAGAGCGCATGGTTATCTAGAACTCGGACAACTGAAAGTTTATCATTGCGACAGTCAGTCATCTTCTTGTATGGTATCTTGAGCTAAAAAAAACAGAAAGGAAAATGTAAAGGTTATCAGCACCTCACCAATCATTCATGATTATTCTTCAAAATGCATAAATGCACATATCGTGCCACCATTGTACAGTAATACTTGAACTCTCTACGATTGGAAAATAATATTACAATTAGGAGAGGTTAACGAGGTATCGGTAAAGCTTAAGGTTTTCACTATAGTAACACTGTGAGCAGTTTTCAAATAACAGAGGGAAAATTAAATTGTAATATGAGGAACTGGGGGAAATATGAGGAAATTGCGGAACTTATTGCTTAAGACCCACTAAAAGACCAACCAAGCTCATATTACTACCTGTACGAAAGATAGTTAATGTTTAATGCTTCAGTCTGTCAATGCTGAAAAGTATAAATTTTAAAGATTTATTTTAAATCAAATTTCAAGGCAGTACATTGACTTGATTACATTGAGGAGAAAACGACGAGAATATATTAATCTGATGTGAATATACATACATATGAAACATGTTTTATGCTAGACCGACACGCTGAGTCGGGATATCAACATGGTAAAATTCGACAGGAAAACACATGTCACCCTACCCGGTCACATTATTCTGACTCCAACTCTGGAAACTAGTTAAATATTATCATCGTAGATTTTTCATGTTTGATCAGTAAAAAAGAAATCCTAAAATTAAATAAGTGTTGTCTTATTAATATGGTACATATTAAAAGTTCTACATACAAAACATAGCAAAGACGACAGATAGCATTGGCCCTGCATTTCAATTGATTGATTACCAACCAGGCAAAAGTTGGTCTCCTTAACCATTTTGTCAGGCTTCACTTGCTTTGGTCATATTAGATATTGTAATACACATCCATGCTATCACATAGAGATAAATAATATTACTATATTTCCACTACTCTAGGTCAAAATCAAATGAAAAGGAAATTTTGTTTTATATTTTCAATTATGTAGGTATGTTTTAACGTAGATCTTCAATGTGGAGATAGGAAAATTATGTGTATTTAGAAAAGCAGAGCAATTATGTAACAGAAAATGTCAGCAAACTTATAATGCAAAAATGAATAAATTGTAGTCTTTATATGTATTCATATGCCTTTTATTGATCGTCACTTTACAATAGTGTTAACCAGTAAAGTATGGCACGTCAAACGTTTCAATATTAAAAAAAAAAAGATATTGATTAAAAAAAAAGTCATGCTCAAAACTTCCAAATATATATGCAATATTTTTCTATATATATTCAAAATGTGAAAATTTATGTTAAAAACTTACAAATATGAAATTATGCAATATTTTTCATCTTTTCAAAAAAATGAAAATATATGTGCAATACTTTATAATTATATAGATGTGATAAAAATATATATATTCAGTAATATATCATTGTGGGTAATATTTGTAAAGACGGATTTTATTGGCTGTTGCAATTTAACGAATGAGGCACAACTCGGCCCGACTAATAAGTCAACTCGGACCGTCTATGTTTTTTTGTGACATACCGAATTAGACGTATCACCGGGTTTGTACTAACATGAGCAATACGACGGGTGCCACATGTGGAGCAG